GAAATGTTGATTGCGTTGCTGTTCTGGCATGATGAGTTCATTCACTTCACAGGAAGGGCTAAAAAGTATATCGTGAAAATCTGGAAGTTGTTTTATGCAGTTAGCTTAATTTAATATGTACAATAGATAAGGAAAGCAGCATGTTTACAAAATGAACATAATCAAAATGATATGAACCCAGGTTGTATTGTAGAGTTTATTTATTGTCCATTTCAGAAATGCAAGGCACGCTGATGGAATTTTCACCAGTGTCTACAGCCATCTTTTGGCTAAACTTGCTGTGAAGAGATATCTACATTCGCTTATTAGAAAACGAGTTAGGTGAGGTGACACTTACATTAGGTAGAGTTTTTTCCTAGCTGGCTTCATTGGCAATTTTTTATCCTTTTGTACCTAAGTTCTCATTTTTATGATTTAGAGATAATGAAAGAGAAATTGATATAATAATGGGGAAGCTGAAAATCTTATATAACAACTTAGTGGTATTTGTTACTAAATTAATATGTTACTATTTATTCCTGATACAGCTGTGAGGAGTAGAGCAGCAGACACTGCACATAGCACTGATAGTAAATACTGGCAATATTACACTGATTGTCACGCCAATTTGCTATTTTTTTTTTTTATCTGATGGTGTTTTTGCTATCTTGGAGGATGAATGGCAAAAGTGAATACAAACTGATCAATTACTCAGTACTTACATACAAACAGGGGCATACTCAATGAATTTGAGAAACAATTAGTTTACAGTGAAAATAAGGAATTTTTTTCTTTCCTACTGTAGAACATACTGCCAGACCAATATGCGTGGGAGATCTGCATTATAGAAAGACTCACAAAAGAATGAGGCAAATCCATAGACAAGAGATCGGGATGCAACTTCCAGACCAGGACATTGATAAACTAATTGTTGCAGGATGCTGGGAAGGATCATGGCATACTTCCCTTGTTTTCGTATTCCTAAGCAGCAGCTGCTGGGCACTTTTGGGGACAGAATAGTAGAATACTTTGATCTGACCCAGTATGACAGTTCTTATGAATGCTCAAAAGCTGAGTGAAAATTAGGTCCTGCATTTATGTCAGTGCCGCCTTCGTTCCAGAACATATAGTGCCAGTTTCTCATAGGCTATAAACTAACATAGATCATTCAAAGCAGAACGCTCTGAGGCTTCCCAAGATTGTGCATGAAAAACAGACCTTCAAATTTGGGTTTCACAAGGTGTGTTTTGTCTCCTCATACCTCCTTAAAACAAGCATTTTTGGCTATGTGTGTGATGCCACACTCTTACTTTCTTCAGAGGCAGGCTCCATCCTCAATGAGTTCAGTGTGATCTGTGGCTGGGTCCCATTAGAACTTACTGTGACTTAAGCCAGTGTGCACCTAGGCATTGTACTAAAATATATATATGCAGATGATAGAAATCAGAATAAAGTCAGTTTACAAAAAGGAGTAACCTGGGCTACAAGAACAGACAGGAGGGAGTAATTAAATCCACACTCATTCATTTGACCCTGGAGCATTCCTAGGGCAGGGACTCTAGAAGTCATTGAGTATGGATCCTAACTGCATGGCCATGGCAAGGTTGAGCAGGAGAAAAAAATGAGTAGAAGGTGTGCTCAAAATGACTAAATACCGATCCTTAGAATTCGATCCTTGCTATTAAAAGACCTAGTAAGCAATAGAAGCAGTAGCTTCTTCTCAACAGAAGAAAAGCCATAGCTGGAAATGAAAGCTGAAATGAAAATTTGATTTTATTTAGCTAATCAACATTATATATTTTGTTTCACTCATTTAATCATGTCTTCTTTTAAACTGATATTGTCTATTAATTTTTTCTTTGTAATTGTTGTATTGCCAGCTCCCAGGACAGTCCTGTCAAACGCCACTCTGACGCTGTCTTCACTGACAACTACAGCCGCTTTCGAAAGCAAATGGCTGTGAAGAAATACTTAAACTCAGTTTTAACTGGAAAAAGAAGGTACTACAAGAAAGCAAATATATGTTGTTTCCTCACTTATATAATACTAAGACAGAAAAGATTTATACCCGTGTAGGTATGCAGAGAGGACAAACAGAAGGCAATGAACATTAATGACTTTATAACGTAGTTTATAACATGGTTTTCAAACACAGACATCGTTTTCTTCCAGACTGGAACAGACACTACAATTAGATTAGAATAAAAGAATAAAGAGGAGATAGCATCTGGCAATTTTAAAAAGCTTCTCACAGATTCTTAAAGTACTTTTATTTATTAAAAAAGCCTCTTAAAGAAAAATCCACAGAGCTACGGAACATGAACAACAATTTTTTTTAAAAAAATGCACAATTTGTTGAAAATTTGCCTTTAAGTAAGCACATAAAATGAAAATTTATAAGACCTGATCAGTGTAGATAATTGCCAGCATATGTTTTTGTAGAGCTTGTATTCTGTTTGTATATTCACTCATTTAGACAATTGCTTGTAAATCTCATGTCTCTTCACTTGTTAAACATGCTATTTCATGTGATTTATAACACTTTGGTATAAATGTAACAAAACATGTGATAGCTACAGTTATAAGAAGGCTTTGCTTGCTTGTTTAGTTTTTCTTCTGAGGGCATTAAAACTTGTTTCTGATCCACAACAGCCAGGAAGAGCTAAACCCTGCTAAACTTCGAGACGAAGCAGAACTTCTTGAACCTTCCTTTTCAGAAAACTATGATTCTGTAGATGAGCTGCTGAGCCACCTCCCACTGGTATGCCCAGATTTTCTTTCCTTTTGCTATCTGTTAGTTGACTTGACCCATAAAATGAGATTAATTATAGATGAAGTGTGGCTTATCAGAAAAGCAGAATCATCTAGGAAAAAGCCGTGTTCCATGAAATGCTGCGTGTTTCCATAGGGATTGTGTCTGAATATAATAATCATTTTAATAACATTAATTAAGTTATCCCATGATTGCTGTTATTGAAAATTCCTAATTAAATGGTACTGTTAATAATGCACCTAACTCACTTGGGTGTTTCAGCTGGTGTGCACTGCAGCATAAAACCAGAATTGACTCATTTTTAATTACAAAGATTATTATTTCTTCAGAGAACAACCTCAAGGATATTTCTTTTAATAATAAAAAAAAAGCTGCACATTTTGTTTAACGTCTATTTCATTAGAAGGCAGTTGCCCCTAGAACTAAGAGGATCAGCAACATGAACCCTAAGCATTAAGAAAGCACTTGACTCCCATCTAAGGTGCTGCAGAGGGATCGTCTGACATGCAAATATTGCAGTTACTGTTTTCCATTTATCTATTAATTTTTTTCTAAAATTATTCACAAATATGTTTCTTTGCTTTTCTGAGATGTAAACCCTTCTACATCAGAGCACTTGCAGGGGCATAAAACCAAAAGGGTAACGTAGAAGTGAATTTGGCTTGGTGTTCTCAAAAGCGTATTATGAAATTGATGATAGGATGATTTTTGGCATTCAGCTGTATCTGAACTACAACTAAGAAAAAAAGGCTACTCTTGAATATAAGGCAGTGGAAGAAAAGACGTTTATCCAAACTGTTGTTTCCTTCCAAGACTGAAAGAAACTATTCTTTTCCTTTCCACAAATATGGCAGTTCCTCTAAAGTTCCCAAAGATTAGAAAGAGCAGAAACTGCTTATGCATCAAGGACCAGAACAATTTTGAAGTTACGGGATTCAGGAAAGAAATGTTATTTCTAGAAAAGATTATTTAAAAAAATACTAAAATCTATTCCTGGATTCTGCACCTTCTAAAACTTCTGGCGTGGACCAAGCAAGAGAGGGTAAGTGGTGCAGCAGGTTGCGGGTGTCTTCCTGGAAGTATTTTCAGTCCTTTCCCTTTTTATGGACTGCACAGATGATCCAGATCTCCCTATAGGTGAATCACTTATGCAGTATTGGGTGCTACTGCTCATTTTATCGCAGTGCCCGGTGGCTGATGGTGTGTGTATCAAGCAACCTGAATTCGTGTATTCATTTCAAAGATACAGTTGTTTGCAAAGTGAGCTGTTCTGCACTGTAGGATAATGTGCAGTAACGTTTTTGCCTAGTCCTTCAACGTTTCTTCTTCATGCTACAGCCTTGTCTGCTGGCTGTAATGCCAACCCAGCTCCTGCAAGTAGTTCCATCTCACTCTTGTCAGCCCCAAGTGCAGCAGTTGTTTTATATCAAGTATTATTTCTTATCTGCTGTCTGCTTTTATACGCCTCATGATGCAACCGCTTACGAAAATGGCTTTTAAAACATGTTTCTCCTTTGCTTTTCAGGACCTCTGAAGGACACCTGGTAAAGTCTATGACAAGAACAAGTTATTTTTGAGTTCCACATAGTATTTCAAAGAGATGCCTTTAGTCATCAAACCAGAACAAATATGTTGTGAAGTGAAAGTTGTGATATATTTGTTTCTTATGTAATAAAAGTTGATATTTACATTGTAAATATTACTCTAGAGTTCTCTACTGAAAGCTGTACATATGGATGCCAGTTTAACTCATGAGAAGTCTGTGAGTCCATATGCTGTAAATCCTTTACTTCAATAAATTTGTTTGAAAATGAGTGTGCAGCTGAAAAGAGCCCATCATTACTAATAAATTAGCTTATTTTAGATGCGGTTCAATTTCAGGTAAATCTCTATGATAATATCGATACATTTTCAGATAACTTCATAAACAAGTGTAAAAACATGAGGAAAAGAATGTGTGAAGCATGTAAAACTGAATTATGAAGATCTCTGAAGGTTACTGCCAAGCAAAAGGGAATGCTTTTCTAGTGGCTTGCCAAGCAACTAGAGAAAATGAAAAAGTGTTGAATGTTTTTTGACCCAACAGCATCTTTAATTCTTGTTCACATGTTAAAATTTCACATATTAAGATCAGAAATATACCCTTTATTTTCAGTTGTGTTTTGGGTACTTTGGAGCTGACAAAGCATGCAGAGTGTTATCCCTTGATTCGTTTGATGCCTAAAGTCACTGGTTATTCTCCATTTAATTGTCTGTAGCTTTGATGATTAAACTATTCCTTAGATATAAAATAGTTCTGAAGATATTTTACTATTTTTTCAGAATGAATGTAATTTACATAATATGCAGACAATAAATAATTTTATTATCATGGCAAACTATTACTGGCTTGAATCAGTGCTACAGGTACCTTGAACAGTAGAGGTTCTGTGTCTACTATAGTACTGGAGGAAGATACTATTTTTTAACTGAGATATACTATGTTATATTAGAAAGATAAGGAATTAAGACTCCAGTCCCTATTTCTTTAGCTTTATTTCATTGTAGTTTATTATGGAACTGGAAATTTGCAGCTGATTCATTGTTGTGATGAATCAAGATCCGGTTATATTTTATTAAAATTGTAGATTTAACCAATTTGATAATTTCCTAAAGAATTATTTACTGTTGTAAGAACTGATAGTTCCATTGCGGTAAGCAAAGGGTGTGGTACTGCATTCACAACATATGAAATGCATATTCATGCTTTATACCAGCCATAACTCTTCCATGACTCCCTTCCCACCTCCTAGAAGAAGATGAAATTTGAAGTACAAAAACTTATCAGACCTACTTACAAGTTCAATTTGGAATTCCAAATATATTTATGTATCACACATATGCACACATAGACAGTGATAAAACTGATTTACAAGTTTCACTTACAAGTTTACTGTTCACATTTAGAAAGAAGCTTCAAACATGGTAAAATTTGAGATTTATGGAGACTAGTTCTCATAAATATGTAGCCGCCTGATTTGTAATTTTTTTGAATGTTGGCAGCTGCATGTCAAAAGGAAAACAACTTGCACAGATCAGATTCTATTATTGCTATTTCCAGCAAGCCTTGACAGAATTTATTTTAGCCTAAGCCAATTAATGGTTACATGTAATTCTGAAGTCTTCTCTTGAAAAGTGGTCCACTAATGGTGGTCCACTCTCAATTTCTACCTTATTATGAAAATTTGAGTGCAAAAGTGGCTTTGGAAATACTTGAAGGGTACTAACAGACTGATGCTGTAGTACTTAATTGGGAATATTCTTCAGTGTAGTTTGAACTTTTTTAGGATTTCTGTGATAAGTAATCTTTAAAAAGTAAGTGAAAGAAATTAACCATAAGCAAACCTGCATATGGTCTTCATATACAGAACTTTTTGTTTGAATATACATACTGTTCATTCACTCAATTTGAAGAAAAATTAGTGTTCAAACTTTTGACTTGGCAATTCCAGAAATATATATTTTTTCTAAATTTGCTTTTATTTATTTATTTATATGCAGTTTACCAATAAGGCACCTGATGGAATAGCTTGTCTTCCATGTCTAATGTTTAATCTTCCCAATATTTTGTTCTCCATAGAAAACTGCAGAACCTTAGAACAGGTATTTTCTCTGTAACAATGGAGTGGGTTACAGAAAAAGGGATGTTTATTAGGAAATCCTATATATATATCTGTGTGTGTATATATATATATATTATCAAATACAAAATTAATGCTCTTATTAAAATAACTAAAATAATACCATGAAAGCTTCCTCAGAGAGTTAGCAAATAGGCAGTCTGAAAGGCATGCTAAATTTTACATACATTTTAGCAAAATCTAGCACTAAAAGGAGAGATAATAGCCTCCAGAATAATAAATGTGACTTGATATTTGCATCAAAGGATGGCTTTTAACTTGTCATAGCAACTTTTGACATTCTATAGAACATATAAGGCCTAATTAATACATTGAGACTTATTAATTGTGGAAGTGATAACATTGTTCACCTCCACGGGCAAGTGGTTATGGTAAGGTTAAATGATAAAATTGAAGCTAAAATTGCAACATTTCACTGAATGAGACAAATATTCAGTCTGTCAATGAATCTTGACACATGCAAGCCAGCTGCAAAATGTACAATCAGAGTGTTACGTCAATTAGGAGAATGATAGGGGTGGCTCCAAAGAGAGTGGCAAGAGAACTGCTAAGGGGAAAACAAATACCTGGGAAATTAGGAGAGCATCACTGGCAGAGAGAATGCAACCACCTAGGAGGAAGGAATAAAACTGTGAAGGGTTATTGGGGTATATGCTAAAGAAATACCATGTTTCTCCGTAATTTCACTTCTAACACAGGATAAAGAATAACTGCAATCATAGAGGATAGAAAAAAAGTGGAAGGGTTTTTTTTGGTTTTGTTTGGTTTTTAATTAAATGGGGTTTTCTTTTTGAACCTACACAATGGAGCTCTTAGAGAAAGGGACAGAATTACCTTGAAGTTACCTTGAAGTGAATCTTTACCAGCACTGGAAAGGGATATCTTCCGGTCCTGAATCCACAGAGAGGATTTGCACGCATGTGTGCATCTGCACAATCATCACCCACTCGAGCAGCCCTTAGGATTGTGTATAAAACTGTGAGAATTACAAAAGTTGACAAAACATTTTAAAATTACAGCCAGTAAAAACACATTAAAAATTAATAAAACCCTAACAGCTCCTCTGATATTTTAAATGGGTTTGAGGGGTTATGAATATTTGTTTCACCTGAAAGTCTGAGACAAAATTTCTGTTTAAAAACATAAAAGTAGATAACTTGGATCCAAAGCATAACTCCATATATAGGAATATTGAATTCTCCCCAAAGAAAGACCTTTTGGGAAGAGTTCATAGAATCATTTAGTTTGGAAAAGACCTTTAAAATCATCAAGTCCAACCATAAACCTAGCACTGCCAAGTCAGACCATTAAACCTTGTCCCTAAGCACCACACCTACATGTCTTTTAAATACCTCCGGGATGGTTACTCAACCACTTCCCTGGGCAGTTTGCTCCAGGTTCCAGTGCTTGATAACCCTTTCAGTGAAGATTTTTTTTCTAATATCTATGTATACAGGCAGAATTTATTTGCTTGCAAGACATTAGGGAAATGTAAATGGGAAAAGCTGTCCATTGCCTCTGGTGATACTGCCTGTGCTTTCCACTACCTCTGTTATTTTTCCTTATTTTCTCTCTCCTCCTCCACTTACCACAAACTTCCCCACTCTTTGTTAATACTCTTATCTTTGGCTTGTAAAGTTAGTGTATGAATGTATACCTATGTTTTTGAGATAAATAATTACAACAGATCTTAAATTTATGATGCAGCAATCCATTAACAGCCAACCTTGGTTATGGAGATGAGTATTGCATAGAATTGGCCCAACTAGATTTGCAGGAGCAACCTGTCTGGCTCACAAGCAGACCCTGACTTCCCAGTGGAGATTTCTCATTTGGTTTGTGACTGGTGCAGAAGGCTGACCTTTCCTTGGATACATCAAACAGAACGTGTGGCCTCCTGGGGCTCGTGCTGGCTTGGGCATCTACAGTATTTTCAGCTTTTCTCCATTCTGCTTTGGAACAGTCACAGAGAGATTGCTTGCCAGGTTGATAAGCTGGCTTAGGAATGGAAGTAGGAAACTAGACACCAGCTTTTTACATCAAACTTTATAAAGTTCAAAGAATAATTTGATGAATCTTCTGGTTCTGAAGTAAGCATACAGGAAAAGTTTTACTTCAGCTTTATACACAGATACATACAGGCCACACAGTAGGGATGGGAGAAACCAGTTTTCCCTTACAAGCATAAGTATTTTCAATAACTTAACTGATCAACATCTGTAAATAAAAATATGGCTGATTATTCAAAGATTCAGCTGAAACTGACATAAATTATAATGATACAGTGAAAAAAAAATAGCACCATTTGTGTGGTGAGAATATTTTCAATAGAGAATGTTTTTTGGGAAAGAATGGAGAATGTTTCAATAATGAGGAAAAAAAAGGATAAAAAGATCTTGTCCTTACCCACTGAGTGAATTATTTAATACTACATAGGGTTTTGCATACGATAATACATTTAAAAGTGTATGTGAGTTTGGTACATGAGATCCTTTTTCTGGATCTTTTCTGGAACTGACCTGGACAGTTAGAAGCCCTATTTAACATTTCAATGAGACCACAGCATCTAAGAGCCAAAGTTATTTCCAAACAGGTGTTATAAAGGTTTTTTAATATATTTATCCTATTACTTAATAGTTGTCAAGTCAGAATTTGCTCTTGTCCAACACATATCCTCTTTTTGGCATGAAGGAAAGCAGAAGAGAAGCTAAAAAGAGTCACTGTATCATCTTGTTAGATGAAATGAGTGAGTGAATAGCTTTCTTCTTAGGAAATGTACACAGACCAGCATTTTTTTTTTTTGCCAGTACCATATGAAATAGCTAGGCTATTGACTGGGTAGAAGAAAACCAGAATGATCTCTGGTTTTGCTTGTAAAATTACCTGATAGTGTTGGCACTTTGCGAAATGGTAGGACGTGTCTTGCACATCAGCTTTTTGATAAAGAATAAATCATTTATACAGAGACTGGGTGTCTCCTAGTTGTTTGTTTATTTTGTATACTATTGAAATCCTTTTTATTGGAAATGGTCACAAGTATGTTTGACAGATGCCTTATCAACATTTGTTGCTGTTGTAACATAGCTCTTCATCTTTGTCTTTCAGCCAATCCCTCTTCCTC